AGTACGATCCTACGATGTATCATTGACCACATTCTAAATGTCCATGTGATTCATCGTAATCAGTCATATTCGACAAACAAATAACAAAAAATTTATACATGAAAATGTCCTAGTGATATACCTCTTATAATCACCCACACTAATACCATCACATGATATTCAATGGAGTCATTTAGCATGCCTACTATGCAATGTTATTGCCCAATTAACATTACTTACATAGGGAATGCTTCGATGATTTGATCTTCTAAAGATCCGTATCATCCGGACATTTCACATGCATCAGAGCCGTCTCAAGAACATTTGTGATCATAGACAAGAGTTACTTTAGGGCTCTTTTAATAATATAAGTATATATTAAAAAATTATTTTAAATTTATTTTTCTTACCTTTTGAGATGCAAAATCACTAATTAAATTTTTATATTCAAGTTTAGAAACCAAATTTTTTTCAATTGATAATATAGCCAAATTACCAAATCTTTCTTGTGAGGGTGAGAGGTGGACAGCTGGCTACCGGGATCAGGTAAGTGAGGGGTTTTGGGGAGGGGCCTGAGGGGACGAAGATGTTGGTGTCAGGGAAGATCAACGACAGCGGATACGTGCCGAAACTGTCTCACGCGGTGAAGAATGAAAATGGGTTGCGAAAATCAGCAAAAATCGACCAAATTGGGGGTTGTCAAGGCTGTGAAAACGTTTCGAAAATGATTAAGTGATGAATCCGATCAATTTTGGTGAGAAAATTGACCTGGGTCATCACTTCAATGCCGACAATGACACTATGGCGGTGTAGAGAGGTGGAGATGCAATGTTTTCATCATTTTGGGGATCGAATGGGTGTTTTGAAATTTTAGACATTTAAATAACTAGTTTAGTTAATTTATGGGTGTGAATGGAAAATATGAAACATGGTTTTTTTTGTAAATTTATGTAAAAAAAAAAAAAAAAGTATAATGAATTTGGGCTTTTCTGGCTTTTTTTGGGCCTTTTGGACCAGTTTTGATAAAAAATTATAAACTTTTTTAGACCCAATGGTATTTCTATAAATCTATTTAAAAAAATTTTAAAATAATTTTGGACCCCTTTTTGGGGCTTTTTTTTTTGGGCCCTAGGCAGGTGCCTTACCTGCCTACCCCTTGGGCCGGCCTTGACATGCATTATAAATAGTATAAATGAAGCAGTAAACAACATGTGAAATTAGAACTTTTTCTTCTATTCTCAAAAGAGTATTTACAGGATACAATGCCCTAAAACCGACAACACGATTGGTTCCTGGGACATACACTAACAGTAGATTCAGAGACATTTGAAGGAGCCACCAAACATGCGTAAGATCTCTGATCCTTGTCTGGATTAATGTTATATTTGTTCTTTTCTATTTAAGCATGTAAAATATATACATATCAAACCCTGATCTTGGGTTATTCAGAGTAAATATTTTTGTTTTCCACTGCGTTTACCCACTGATTTACTTACAGGCCTCACTCAGCCTCACACGACCTCACACGACCTTTCAGTCTCAATCGGCCTTGCTCGGCTTCACACGGCCTCACTTGGCTCATCCCCAAGGTTTTCACTCATCTTCAAAAGAGTCATTCAACTCTTCCCCACTCGGCCTTTTGCTCAACTCTTCCCACTTGGCTCAGCTCATCCCAAGGCTTCCACTATTCAAAAGAGTGACTCTTCCCCACTCGGCTCCTCTTCGATCCACTCTTCCTGCTCAGCTTGGCTCATTCCCAAGGCTTTCACTCGTCTTCAAAAGAGTCATTCGACTCTTCCCCACTTGGCTCTTCATTCCACTCTTCCTACTTGGCTTGGCTCATCCCCAAGGCTTCCACCTTTCAAAAAAGTGACTCTTCCCCACTCAGCTCCCCTTCACTCCGCTCTCCTCAACTCAGCTTGGCTCGGCTCATCCCCAAGTGCCTTAACTCTTCACTACCCAGGTTGACTCATCCTGAAGGGATGAATAGAAACCAAAGCACCCTACTCACCATCCATGTTGGCCGAAGCACCTGAACTGTCACACTTAGATTGACTCATCCTGAAAGGATGAATGGAGACCAAAGCACCCCACTCACCATCCATGCCGGTCAAAGCACCCAAACTGTCACACTCAGGTTGACTCATCCTGAAGGGATGAGTGGAGACCAAAGCACCCCATTCATTATCCATGCCGCCTGAAGCACCCAAATTGTTACACTCGGATTGACTAATCTTGAAGGGATGAATGGAGACCAAAGCACCCCACTCACCATCCATGTCGGCTGAAGCACCCAAACTATCACTCGGGTTGACTCATCTTAAATGGATTAATGGAAACTAAAACACCCAAATAACCCCCCATGATGGACTCGACCCCCATGCCACACCTTACGACTCGACATAAATTGCTCAGTCACCAGTATGAGCAGAGCCGAGTGGAGCAGTACATATAACGATTGACAAGTATTGATCACCGATAAACTCCTCACTCAGCCAGCACCATCCATTCATCAACAGGAGTCAAGAGGTACATATCACCATCTTGAAGAGACTCCATAAAACTTCACCTAAATCTACATGTGGACGAACCAAGTCGAACCGACTCGACTCTTACAGGGCTATGATTCACACATTCTTACACCCACTGAAGGAATAACATACTCTCCAAGATACTCATCATCCTAGCTCAGGTTGGTCGAGCGAACTTTCACATTCCTCCTGACTTAAGTTGGTCGAGTGAACTTTTATTCACCCATAACTTCGGTTGGTCGAATAGACTCTTCCCAATTCAGATTGGTCAAGCGCACCTCCATAATCCGCCCGACTCTGATCGGCCAAGTAAGTTTCACACCCACTAAGTTTTGCATACCGAGTCGAGGCCCACAACCTCAAATGACTCGGTGAACTTGTAACATAACATTTCAAATAACGGTCTATCCAACTTGACGAGTTAGCACTGACTCACTTGGTCCGCACTCATTTGACTAAATATACTCTCTAAGCTAAATGTCGTTTAACTTAGAGATTGGGGAGCTAATTGTATGGGCAAAAAATCATCTTGGGCCTTATCAGGCCCAAGCGCGTAACATCTATAACATGGCTCAATCCTGGTTAGGCCCATGATAAGATCCATGTCACATGCTAGAATAATGTGCTAACCTAATCCTTCATAGGTTGGACCATCCAAATTGGTTCTCATCATTAGCCCACCTAGGCCCAGGCCCATTAGCTCATGATATCTACTAAGGATCCAGAGTCTTACTTAAACCCTAATACATCTACTTCATATTCTATCTTTATCATAATTCACCTAAGATCTCGAGTCTTATGTGAATTATGACTCTCACTCCTTCAAAGGCAAGTAAATCTGGTCTTTCTTATTCACTAAGTTTATTTCATTATGGACTTAGAGTCCTACTAGGATTTGAAGATCTTACAACTACTATATAAATAGAGGCCTGCCTTTTCATAAATTATTCAATCTCCACTACTCAAAACCACCTACTTGCTCCTAAGTTCTTGCTCTTGAGAATTCTACACCTTCGTCGTAGTCCTGGCCTCTGACAAGACTTCCGGTAATCCTTCTTTCCCTTAATTCCTATTAAATCATCTCTTTCGACCTTGCTGACTTGAGCATCAGAGTGCTTATGGCAACACCGCCCCGGTGTTTTCTGTAAGCTTCACGCTTTTCTCTTCGTGTGTGTACTTCCAGCAGATTGTCAGTGGCCTCAACCTCACAGGATCAGACCTTATTTCCATAATCATAGATTTTGTGCATCTACATTAATCATAAATTATGATTTCAATTCAAGATATATACTCGTTTCATGATTTGTTAATTGTATATACAATTTTGTAAGATTGATGTTCTCATATGAAAAAATAATATGGTCTAAACTTCAACTATTAATGCGTAATAAAATATTTTTCAATGCTTTTTAAATCTGATGATCTACCACTTATAAGGCTCTTTTAGTAAACTCCATTTTTCAAAATTTAAATAGAAAATAAAATTATATAAAAAGAATAAATTATAAATTATATAAAAATATTTTTCAATGATACTACTCTTTTCAATCTATCCTAAATTTTATATTTTTAACAAAATATCTATTTATTTTTATTTTTTTAATGTTGTTGAGCTTTATTTTAAAACCTCACCCGTTAAGGAACCCCGTAAGGCCACCGGGTCTTGGGTTGACTGGTCAGACTAGTTAAACCGACGGTCTGACTAATTATCCAAAAAGTTTAAAATCTTCAAACACGCCCAAAAATACGAACCAGTCTCTACACGTCTGAAATCTAGCAAATACACCCCTACAATCTATTTGGGTTTTGACTTTTCTGGCCAAATTTTGGCTGATTCCAACGGCCAAAATTCAATCTGACACCACCACCTAAACCACCGTCCTCCACTCTACAAAACCCCTCTAACCCTAAAACTTGGTAGCCCCCCGTTTGCCAATTGTGACTCATGTATACTGCCACGATTGGGTTGATTTTTCTGGCCAAATTCCGGTGTCCAAAATTCAATCAAACACCACCACCTAAACCACTGGCCTCCACTTTATGAAACCTCTCTAACCCCGACACTTCATAGCCCTCGTTCGCTGACCATGACTCACATATTGGGTTGAATTTTTCGCCCAAATTTCGGCTTATTCCAACGTCCAAAATTCAATTCAACACCACTCTTTAATCCACCGACCTCTACTCTACAAAAGCTCTCTAACCTTGGCACTTGATAGCCTCTCGTTCGCTAGCGATCAAACTAGAGATATTGTAAATAGTGAAAAATGGTAACCCAAACCGAATAGGCTATTGGGTCCCTGTTGGACCGGTCCAGGTTTTAAAACAGTGTTGCTGAGCCAGAAAAATATTATGTTCAACCATATAAAACTTGTTAATGGACTTTTTGGCTAATGTTTATAACTTGTTGAACTTATAATGATAAAAGAAACGAGTGATAAAAGAAACGAGTGACTTGTTTGCATATTTTTATAACTTACTGAACTTGTAACGAGCAAATTCATAACGTATAAACAACGATAAATTTCTCTCTCAGCTTAATTTTAATTTCTTAAATTAGCATGAATTCTGAATCTTGCTAAAGCAGAACTTTGAAATTGATCTTATAATGCAAATGGATGTGAAGTTCCCAACCCTAGCGTCGCAACAGCCACAGGAATCATTGGCGGTGGCGAACCCTAACACAAATACCGATCCGCCTCCGCAATCATCCAAGGCGGAGGCGCCACCGAAGCAGGTAGCGCTGGCGATGGAGAGACTCACACAGGCTGCTCGTCACATTGCGGACGTTCGGCTCGGTGCTGACCGCCTTCTGGAGGCTCTATTCTTGGCGGCGCAGCCTCACCAGAGCAGCAAACCAGTCAATTTGTTCATCCAAGAAGACAACGCAATGCGCCAGCATCTCCAGGACCTCCGCTCCATCGGTATGAATTGAATTCTTAAAATTCTCCGGTTAGTTATTGAACTGGAAGTATCGGACTAAACTTGTTAGTAACTTTAGTAGTTGTAGTTTTAAAATTTAGCATAAAATTAGTGACCGGTATAATGGATTGGCGTAATTGGTAACAAATTTTACTTTGTTAGGAAAGCAACTGGAAGAATCTGGAGTTTTGAATGAGCATCTTAGGTCGCGAAGTAATTCTTGGGGTTTGCATATGCCGTTGGTGTGTCCTGATGGTGCAGTGGTTGCCTATGCTTGGAAACGCCAGCTCGCTGGCCAGGCTGGTGCTTCTGCTGTTGACAGAACAAGGTACATTTTCGAGTTTGCAACACTAATTTTATTTTGTGATTGATATATTCTTGTGAGAGTTCTTTTGAATTTGCATATTAGCATTAGCTGGAGATGCTTAATTGAAAATCTGGATTTCATAGATTTAGTGGGGCATTAAGTTTGTCGAAGCAAATGTTATGTTATGTACTTGTTTATGACCTAATCAACCATGGAATGACTTAGTTGGCATTGGTGGGAGTGCAACAAACCAATAGACATGTATCCATTTTTATGGAAGATGACGAGATGTAATAGGACAGCTAGAAGTTTGCATTGATGGAAGTTTTAATACAAATTGAAATCTTGAAAAGTCGATTGACACAACTAGCTTGGCGTGAATTGGCCTTATATCAAGTATGGACTGACACTCTTTAGTCTAGTCGATTTTCTTCTCAGCTTAGATATTGTCAGTACTGATCTTGGGCCACTGCTGCAGTTGTTAAGGGTTTCATGTGAGTATAGAAAATTGAATTCCTTGTTATTCTTATTGTAGGTTTTAGTTATTAATTAGGGTGCCAAATTTATCTTTCAATTATTGCATGATATGAATAGAGATTTCAGTCTTTTTGTGGCAGAGGTAATGTATCACAAAATTGGGGTTTATAAGTTAAATTAAAATAAGATTTTGGAAGTAGGAGAAGGTCAAAGGGAAATTGAAGTCTAAGAGAGAGCAGAGAAGATAAACTAAACCCAATTTAATCTTTGGAAAAGACAGAAAAGGTACAAAAGAGCATAAATGTCAAATTCCAACAAAATTTAATCATAATTTTAACCTTTAGGTAAGTTTATTTAACAATTATAAATCCATAAAAGGAATTTTAGCTTATATCTAATCATTTTAAGCCTAAAACTTTGTAATGATACCCTAAATACATTTTTAAAGTAGGCCAAACCCATAAATATCTTTTTCCATGAATTTGTCATGTAAGGTATTCAAAACCAAAAATCAATTGCAAAGCTTCCATATATAAAAGTCCTACAAAGAACATTAAATTTTGACAAATCCTTCGGGTCTGTTTATTTTATTATTTTGGATAGGATTTTGGGAATAATATTGGGTAGTTGAATAGGGGAGTATTACGAGGTAAAATTTAAAAATTTATTAAAAAAACCCCTTAGGTTTGCTAATTTAATTAAACACCCCAATATATAAAAATTTTGTAAAATGACAAAAACACCCCCACCACCCACAGTGTTAGATTCAGGCCACTACCGTCGGAATCTGGCCGGAAAATTGCGTAACGACACATACCAGTCGGATCTGGCAGGTATGGCGTCGATATAGCCTTTTCCGGCTAGATCCACCACGGATCTGGTTATCTAGCCGGAAAAGGCCAGATCTGCTGCCAGATGTGGCCGTCAACGGCCGCAAAAGTCCATCGACAGCCAAAGATATGGCCGCCTTTTCCGGCTAGATCCATTGTGGATCTTGCCAGAAAATGTCAAATCGGTGAATTACCGGCCAGTTTCGGTCGTGGTTTAGGCCGTTGTAACAGATTCCGGCTACCACCGACAGTGGTTGCCAGAATCTGGCAAGTATGGGTTGGTGGGGGTGTTTTTGTTAATTTTTAAACTTTTTTTCCTAGGGGTATTTAATGAAATTGATAAACTTAAGGGGTCTAAAAGTAATTAAAAAATATAGTAATATTTCTCAAATAATGTGCCAAACAATATTTGGGGAATAGGATTGGGAATATGGGTAGAAATATGGAACCAAACGCACCTTTCACTTTCCTTCTTTCTCTTAAAATTTCATGCCTTTTGGCCAAAAGGAATCTTTAATGCAATGTCAATAAACTTAGTTTCATCAATAGTTAAATGTGTTGTCATTATTACTTGCTGATCTTGGTGTATATCATGAGAAAAGATTTTATCAATGGCCATTTAACTTTCGGTAATTGTATCAAACTTCAAGGTGTCCTTTGGAATTCATCAGCTTGTGTGTCTAATGTTTGCAGGTTAGCTCTCAAGGCCTTCACAGATCAAAAAAGGCGTTTTTTTCCTCACCTTGATGACAAACTAGACGATCAGAATAATGAACCAGCATCCAAAAAACAGTGTGTTTCCCAAGTCCTACCAGCCGATAACCTTGAAGAGCTTAATGACTGCAAAACATTATCAGATGTTCTAATGCGTTTGGAAAAAGAAGTGCCAAATTTGAAAATTTTCACCTATGAACGACTAGATTGGTTAAAAAGAGCTTCTTCGTTGCCCAGTTCAGCAAATGAGAGTCCTTTTGAATTATTGAAGGAGCACAACTTTCATAGTTCAAATAAACTAAGACCGGGATTGCAGAATACTGTTGCTGCAGACAAGATTGCTGTAATCGAGTTGTTGTTTCCTTCTGTTTTCAGAGCTATAGTTTCATTGCATCCAGTTGGTTCTATTGAGCCCGATGCAGTTGCTTTCTTTTCTCCAGACGAGGTAATTTTTTAACTGAATGCATGTTCTTCTGATTTCCGACTTCAAGCTTTTTTTTAATATGATATTCTGTCTGTTTTGTTGCTCATACCTAGATCTTTGTTGTGATTATCATTGTGATTGCATCAGATACCATAAAAGAATTATTGGCGCTTTTATCTTCCATTAAGCATTTTAGTTTAGTGTGGATTTCTGTTGAAGTTAATAAAGCTCTAATGGAGCTCAAATGTGAATCTTTGTCAACTATGCCAATTCAAGCTTTGTTTCTAGATGAGCTGGAACTTGTTCGCGAGTCGCACTTTTACTTATTTATTAACATTAGGGCAACTAAGGTTTAAATAGTTGTTTTTGGGTGAGAATGGTGTTATGGGAATGTTTTCAATTCTTGCAATCTTAATTTTAATTTGATAAGTAAAATGTTAGTTGGTTTGTTATCGTACAATTATTGCTATTGTCATTATTAAAGATCCTTGCACAAACAACAATATAGGTACATCCTATACATGCTAAACATATACAGTCACACTCACACAACACACGCGTGTATGCACACACACACACATATATATAACACAGTAAGAGATTAAGTTAACAAAAAAAAGGACAAAAAAAAGGGTTAGAGTGAAAGAATTGGGAGATATGGGACTCTATTGATATTTGAGGACTTTGGTATTAGAAACGGAACTGATGCTTTCTCACTTTTGCATAACGTCTCTTGCAAAGAGTTAATATTTGTAGTCTTTTCACAACCGCCCTCAAACGTTAGATATACTTCAATAAGGGACACTTATCCCTTAAAATATGATTTCCTAATCTTATTAAGTCACATCATAGGCTTCATTAAATACTCTAATGATGGGCTTATTTCAATAGGTAGAAAACTACCAAAATGCCATTTAGAAGACAATACTCTCCCTTGGATTTCCACCGTTTACATATAATTACTGACAAGGTTATTAAGAGAGTTTGAGCATGTCCAATGCCACTACAGTTTTTTCCTTAGCAAAGTTAATTTAATTATTTGTAAGTGGTGGAATTCTGATGGAACCACCTGTTCAATTAACTCAATCCAACCACAACACACAAGAGCAAAAATGAAAGTAACACACAACCTCATAAAACTGAATGTTATTATTGTATACTGAAAGAAATAGCAACATCAAGAAAGAGTGACCACAGATCAATTCGAGGAGCTGGGAGCCTCCCAAAATACCTATAAGAATTTACTGATACCTCCTTTACCACTCTCTAGCTATTTATACCCAAATACTTACTAAACTAACCTTACTTTAACAAACTTTATTCTATCCAGCCACTTGCATGCAAAATCCTGTAACAAACTCTCACTCACACTCATTACCCCGTAGTGCTCTTTTTATGACCCCTCGACTTATAGACCATATTAACGGGAGGTAGTCTAATACCCCTAACCATCCCCCCCCCCCCCCCCCCTCTCTCTCTCTAGGAAAGCGACCTTGTCCTCAAGGTGGAATTGAAGGAATTGTGTGTTGATGACGTCGAAAGACTCACATGTAGCTTCAAAGGAGGGCAGCTCCTTCCATTGAATGAGGACCTCTTTGGTGCCATCAAGGAGGGACTGCACCGCCTAGGACTAATTGTGGGTGAACCTGGAGTTCCATATCTTTGGTGAGAAAAGTGGGAAGTGGCTGAACTGAAATGGAGTTGTGTAGGCTGCGTTTGAGCTGGGACACATGGAACACTGGATAAATACGAGCAACGGAGGGTAGAGCCAGTTTGTAAGCTGTCAGACCAATTCTATCCACCACCTTAAATGGCCCATAAAACCTAGGACTGAGTTTCTCATTCAATTTGAGTTGGGACACATGGAACACTGGATGTTTCGCCCTTCTCTGGATCATCATCTTCCCATGCCAGCAAAATCTGCAAAAGATTTGCTCCTACATCGGTGGTTAAGGCTGAACTTTTCATCACACCTAAAACAAAGCCCCTTTTCCCTTCTGAGTTGAATTTTTGCTTCAGTTAACCTTTGGAAATTTTCCTCTCTGGAGCTCGAAGCTGTTGTCGCTGGTGGAATATCCCTCCTATCGACATAACGATTTGACGAAGAATGAGTCTCGCCTGAGATTTTAGTGGTATTGGACCACCAACCAGGTCACCCAACCTCTGGGCTTGGAGAGACCCGTGAGTACCCTGCAATTTTTACATTATGGGCTTTAGTCATTTTGGGCCTAATTTTATCCAGCACCGAGTTTTTTTCTTCAACTCGATGGGCCTGTTCCATCACTTCACCCAGATCTTTGGACTGTATGAGACGCAATTCAACTCTAATTTCTTCCTTCAGTCCATTTACGAATATACCCATTAGCATCTCTTCTCCCAATTCCTTCAACGGAGCTGTATGTGCTTCAAATTCTTCGCGATACTATGTCACTGATGCAGTCTGTCTCAGTGCTACCAGTGCCTCATAGGCTGTCCCTTGAAAGGATGGTTTGAATCTGGCAATTAAAGCAGCTTTGAAATCCTTCCAACTCTAGACTGGTCTCCGAGATTCAAGCCATTGATACTAGTTTAAGACTCTTCCTTCCATGCACAGGGCAGCGGCCTCCACCATCTCCTTTTCTTCGTATTGATTAATGGCGAAATATCTTTTAGCCTTGAAGGTCCAGCCAAAAGGATCATCTCCGATAAAAATGGGTTGCTCGAGTTTGGGAATTTTTTTGTCGTCCTTCCTGTTATCCCCACTGTGATTTCGTTCATATCCCTTATCTCTATCGGAACTCTGATTTTCTGGAGTTGCAGACATTTTCTCCTTCTCCTAATAACGTTTCTCCTCCCTTTCCTCTCTCAACCTTATCAATTCTCGCATCTCAGTTAAGTACTCCTTGACACTACCTAAATCGGTCTTCATCATGCCCATATCTTCCTTCACGGTTCTCATTTCCTTTTCCACATTTTCCATTCTGTTCTCCATTTTGGATTTTACTATTACTCAACCTAGCTCTGATACCAAGTTGATGGAACCACATGTTCAATTAACTCAATCCAACCACAACACACGAGCAGAAATGAAAGTAACACACAACCTGATAAAACTGAATGTTATTATTGTATACTGAAAGAAATAGCAACATCAAGAAAGAGTGGCCACATATCAATCGCCAGCAATTCGAGGAGCTGGGAGCCTCCCAAAATACATATAAGAATTTACTTGATGCCACCTTTACCACTCTCTAGCTATTTATACCCAAATACTTGCTAAACTAACCTTACTCTTAACAAACTTTATTCTATCCAGCCACTTGCATGCAAAATCCGGTAACAAACTCTCACTCACACTCGTTACCCGTTAGTGCTCTTTTTACAACCCCTCGACTTATAGACCATATTAACGGGAGGTGGTCTATCAAAATCCAAGGGCAAGTATTATATATATGGCATTTTGGTAGCTTTCCACCTATTGAAATAAACTCATCATCAGAATAGTTAATAAAGTCTATGAGGTAGCTTAATAAGATTGGGAAATAATGTTTAAAGGGATAAGTGTCCCCTAGGTATATCTAATGTTTTAAGGGCAGTTGTGAAAAGGATATAAATAAGACCCTTGTGTATTAATTTTTATAAGACACATTATTTAAAAGGTAGAAAACATCAATTCCATTTCAAATAAAACTGAAAGTATGGTGGTAATGAGCCAGGCAAACTCTTCAAATAAGTTGATGCCAAACTCACGATAAAACTTGAAATTAGGTCTCATGTGAAGCAATTTGAAACTGATCAGTGTCAAGTCAAACAGAATTATGCTTGAACAAAAGGAAGTGGTGCTTGTCACTTCGGTGCTGCAGCCAGTTCCCAGTTTCAAATTTTCATACAGCTTGTTAAATATGTAATCATTCTCAACCCATTACTGGTTAATCTGTTCCATTTTAGAGTGGATATTTTGCCGCCTTCCAATGTACTTACCTTAACTTTCTTCAACAGGGAGGCAATTACATACACGCTAGAGGTTCTTCAGTTTATCAGACATTCAGACGCATCACGGTAATAGCCTTTATAATTAAACAACTTTCTCCACACCCCTTCAGTTTAGGTGGTTGATATGTTGAAAATATTTATCCAAAGCTGAAACTATCTATTCATACATCTATCTATTTCCTTGTTGCAGGAGCATGCTGTTATGGCACTACAATTTTTCCTCGGGATAAGGACTGAAACAACTCTTTATTATCTTTTGGTAGGATCCAAACACTTAATATATTTCTTTCTCTTATATAGCTGAGCATCAGTCCCAGCAATGTTGCCACACATATTTGAGTTCTTACCCGTTTTGTTCTTGTAGCACTGGATCTGCACGTATCAAACTCTATTTTCTAAAGCTTGCAGGTGAAACGCTTGCCCTTTTAAATTTGTAATTTCTTTTGTTCCTTTGGGGTGATGAATTTATGATAAATTGTTGGTGCAGTAAGTGTGGACGGCTATTGATAATGGATAAACAATTGGCTTTATTATTACCTCCTGTTAATCGTCCGTACAGACACTTCTCACCTTCGGTAACTTCATCAACGCAGCCCGTTTCCTCCACAGCAAAAGACCAGAATGTGGATGTCTCCACTGCCTATCACGTTGGTTGTCATTCAGAGGATGCTTAGTTATACCAATTGTCTCGGTGAGGTTATGAAACACATATCAAAAGTAACTATTTCAAAATCCCTAACCGTCTTTTTTTCTTTTTCCCTTTTTTTTTTCTCTTTAATCGTATTTGTGGTTTTTCTCATCATTAAGCAGCAGGTAGAAATTGTCAGCTGATGTAAAATGTAACAGAAAAATGTTAATGTAAGTCTCACTCAATTTTTCTCTCGTTATTTGTTTCTGCTAATTTTCGAACGCCGTTAGCATTAGCACTATATTTACCTTCAGAAACTTTGAAATGATTCAATTCTTATGAGTTACAGCCTCTCTCATTTTTCTTTACTTTAGAAGCATTTTAAGATACATTTCCAATATTATTCGTGCGGTCAAGATTCATTCGTTCTTTTTATTTTTATTAACTACTAAGTAGTAATTACATGTATTCTTAGGTTAAAGTTCATGTTGAGATTCGTGTAATCGAGATTCGTTCATTCGTTCTTTTACAGCCTCTCTCATCTTTCTTAACTTTGGAAGCATGTATGCTTTTTATTTATTTTTTTATTTTTTATTTTTTCTCATTTCATTTCATACATATTGGAAAACTTAGAGAGAAAATGCATTATAATTGATATTAATGCAGAATCGTTTTCAGGGATGGCACCATCAAACAAATAGTTATTAGTTTGTTAATTTGAAAATTTTGCATAATTTATGCAGGCCTTACCGGAATAATACTATGCGTATTTACGAGTGCACTAACCAGCATACTAATTTTTGTAAATATAAAGCATAGTATGGATACCATATGTAATTTTAATAAAGGTTAGGAAGATGATTAGTAAGATCCGTGAGTACGCATAGCATTACTCGGCCTTACCATTGACATGATGTTTGGGACTGAGGATTATTGTGTACAACTGAATTATTTATTTAAAAATAACACTTAAAATAAATAAATGATTAAAAATATAACTTAAACATGTGTGGCAATCATAAAAGTAAATCAATTTATAAAAGTAATTAGGTGAAACATGAAATAACTATCTTTAAATTTCAGTTTACAAAGTAAAGGTTAAAAAATTCAAAACCAAATTTCTATCACTTTAAATTTCTGTCAGTTTTCCAGAGGTCCCTCTTTCTCTTGATTTTGTTGTACTCTTTTGAAGACAATACCGATTAACTCAAAAGTTGAGAAAATCAGTGACTGAATTGTACACTATTCACAAGTAGTTTTGGACTTGGCAATTGGATAAAATGGTAGCATCCATATAATCAAGGGCGTTCAAAAAGATACAAAAACCGAACCAAACCGGAAAACCAGTTAACCGAAAAAACAGTTCGATTACGGTTCAAAAAATTCGAAAAACCGAATTTCTGGTTCAGGAAATAATAAAAAGCAGTTAACCGAAACCAGTTTTTTGGACCGATTTTACAAATATATATATTATATATTAAATAAATATAAATATAAAAATAAATATTATATGTTAAATAAATAATAATAATATAATATATCATATATTAAATAAAAAAATAATAATATTTTTAATGTATTATTAATAGTGGTCAAAAGATAGGTATGAATGTTTAATTTTTATTTGGATATGTATTATTTATATTTACAATTTAATTTTAAAAAATAAAAAAAATTTATTAAAAAAAAAGGGAAAACCAATTAACCGAAAAATCGGTTGTCCCTCCAAACCAGTTCGATTTTGGTTCGAAAAAATTTTTAAACCAAAAAACCAATTCGATTCAAAAAAATCGGTTAACCGCTTTTGAACACCTCTATATATAATGAATAAAAAGGCAAAGCCTCAAATTGTGTGCCAAGTTATGGGATTTGATTGGGAGAAATGAATGAAAGCAAATTTCTCCTCACAAAAAAAAAGTAAAACCAAATTGCCAACTATACAATGTCTCATCAATGTCTCAAAGTAAAGACCAATCAAACAACCCAAGTGACTCAATGTTTATTTGTGTTAGATATGAGTGCCCAAATATTTAGTTCACTCGTAATGCTTTCGCTACTTCAATTGGGATGCTATACATAAATCATTAGATGAGAAAAACTTACATGAAATAGTATTATTGTCTTATTATATTGACGTGGTAAGACTAACCAATGAAAAAATTTCATATATTATCCCATATACTATGTAAAAATTTCAGCTTTTGTTAAACGGTCACTATAATTACCCATTACAAACATGATGGGAGGTTTTGAAAATTGATAAACACATAAATTATTTTATTGGGCAATCTCACCATGTCAGAATTTAAGAAGGTTTTTAACAACATATGATAAAGTAACAAAACAAGCAAACACCGTAAGAGGGCGGAAGAAAAATTGTCTGCCACGTTATTTTAAGAAAAATAATACAGCCACCGATTATAATGTATCGAATTTATACACCGAATAACATAATAAAATTCTGATCGTTAATTAATTTTAATTTAATATTAATCAACGGTCAGAATTTTGTTACGTCATTCGGTGCATAAATTCGATGTACTATTTTGGTGACTGTAGCTTCACTCTTATTTTAATATTTTCTTCACACACATAAATTGATAAACACACTCCTTTATATAGAATTCGAACAACAATTCTAATACTAAAAAATTAAATCACATACTAGCATTCATCTGTTCAGATAACACTAATAGAAATGCCAATAAACTTTTTATAAAATTAAACAGGTTCAGTTTAATTTATGTATAAAGAGGTTATGTTAAAGGTGAATCTTAGATAATTATAATGAAATAATAGTCCTATTTCAATTTGATAATATTATCTCCTCTGTAGATGTTAAAATCTATGGTTGGGAAAGTAGGATTTCATCCTGTAAGGTTGAGATTACTGGCAATCCGTTGTATCTGCATACAAAGCAAACAAGCGTGAAACTTACGTGAACACCAGTGTGGTGTCTATCGTAGGCACTTAGACGCACAATTTAGTGAGGGTAAGGGAATGAAGGGTTAACAGAGATTAAGTCAGAGACTACAACCACAGTATAGTAGTATAGCTCTTAAGAGTAAGAGGATGGGTGCTGGTAGATGTTGTTGAGGCTAAATGCCTAAATAAAGGAGTGACCCTATTCATATAGTAGTTATAGGATCTTCGTATCCTTATAGGACTCTGAATCCATAAGGAAAGAGGTCTAATAAATATGAAAGATATTGACTCACTTGACTTATTAGTAACGGGAGTCCTAATTTACCTAAGATACGAAATCTTGGGTGAATTAGGATAGAACCAAACGGGAAGAGTGCTACTTACCTCAATCTGGAAGGCCTGGCCTTAGGTGGATTGTTGGTGTCGCCCATTCTAGAGGAAGGTTGGATCTAGTGCGCACGTCTGGGCCCATACCATGAGTTCTAATGTTGACCCAACTGAAATTGGATTATAAGCTTGGGTCGTTGTAGTGGAACATGCCTGCCTGGGCCTAATAAGGCCTCAAGTGATTTTTTACCCCACATCATCCACATTAAAGTTTATTGTTAATTGAGTTAATAATAACAATCAAAATCATTTGAATTATACAGTAAAATCTCTCTATAGTCATAATGGTGTGATCAAACTAATTTATTACTATAAAGAGGTTATAACTTAATAAAGATGTATTTACAAATATGTCTGATTTGATTTCTTTCTTATTTTATAATTCACATTTTAGTAGTATATACTAGGATTTCAATTCATTGTTTTAGTAGTCATTATTGTAATTAAACAATAAGAGAAAGAAAATAATCCCGAAGATGTTAGTATGAAAATACAAAAGTTTCGTTCCAAGAAACTCTAAACATAATTGAAAAGCTAGAAATATTTTAGCTTCAACAAGAAGGTATCCATGCTAAAGGGTTATTACGTATCCGCAAATTAAAAAATGTGATAACAACTCTAAAACATAAATCATTGTCTCAAAGAATTTTAGATTAATATTTTATTTCATTAACATAGCACATATTTTTTTTGCAATATACAAATAATTATTACTATATGGAACCAATTTTATTAAGACAGAAATTAAAAAAATTATAAATTATAATTTATTACAATGTAGAGTTTTTTCTTATTTATAGCTATCACAAATTGAAACTATAGTTTTTTGATGAGTATATAAAGTATCACTATAAAAATGTTTTATTTTATATAACATTATTACTTTCATAAGTCCAAATTGCCAACCGCATAATGTCTCAAAAGTAATACCAAATACCAATCAAGCAAAGCCCAGAGATTCATAATGTTGTGTTTGTGTTAGATATGAGTTGCCTAAATATTTACTCATAATGTTCTCATTATTTACCAAGAAAATGAGAATGACTACCTTTAACTGTATGATCATTACGGGATGGCATTTTAGTCATTAAAAACAAGGGTACTTCCAGTCCCAGCCACACCATATCAAGAACCATAAAGTGATAATGCCAAGATTGATTGCCCTCTGCCCAATGCAACTATAGAAAATTGGGCGAACGACTTGTACATACCCAAAGTTTACTGTAATGACAAGTTGGTATCCAAAAGGTTTTGAAACGATAAATAGGTACCTTCCGTCATATTCTGTTAATGATTTTTGTTTATTAATAGTGAAAAGACTAAAATGCCCTTCAAAGTTTTAATTTTTGTTTTTTATAAATTTCAAAATTTCTAAAAAACCCCCTAGGTTTGCTAATTTAATTAAACACCCCCATATATAAAATGTTTGTTAAATGACAAAAACACCCCCACCACCCCCAGTGCCAGATTCCGACCGCCATCGCCGGAATCTGGCTGGAAAACTGTGTCGTAATACAGTTTTTCGGCCAGATTCCGACGATGGCGGCCGGAATCTGGCACTGGGGGTAGTGGGGGTGTTTTTGTCATTTAACAAACATTTTATATATGGGGGACGGATCTGTGTCGTAAGGTGCCGATCTTGCCTTTTCCGGTCAGATCCGCCACGGATCTTGCCGGAAAAGGCAAGATCTGGCCGTCGAAGCAGCAGCCAGATCTGGCCTTTTCCGGCCAGATCCGCCACGGATCTGGCCGGAAAAGGCCAGATCGACGCGTTACGACACAGATCCGACGGGTCTGTGTCGTAACGCAACTTTCCGGCCAGATTCCGGCGGTGGTGGCCGGAATCTGGCACTTGCCGGTGGGGGGTGTTTTTGTTATTTTATAAAACTTTTATATATTGGGGTATTTAGTGAAATTTGTAAACTTAGGGGGTTTTTTGAAA